AGAAGTACAGACACATCATTTATTCGCAGTATTTTCTGCAAAACATTTATTATTACCTTTCATTAACCACAGTTATTAATTATCATCGCCTCGCTTCACTTGTTTAAGCTGCCGTCCATCATGCATTTGATTTCAGTTTATTGATGCTGTTATCGCTGTTTTATTTTGTTTGTTAATGGTAACTTCCCACGGTCCAGGGTTTCTGGTAGTTCCCACGGTCCAGGGGTTCTGGTACTTCACACGGTCCAGGTTTCTGGTACTTTCCCCGGTCCAGGGTTTCTGGTACTTTCCCACGGTCTTAGGTTTCTGGTACTTTCCCACGTCTGAAGGTTTCTGGTACTTCCACGGTCTGAGGTTTCTGGTACTTCCCACGGTTCAGGGTTTCTGGTACTTCCCACGGTCTGAGGTCTGAGGTTCTGGTACTTCCCACGGTCCAGGGTTTCTGGTACTTCCCACGGTCTGAGGTTTCTGGTACTTCCCACGGTTCAGGGTTTCTGGTACTTCCCACGGTCTGAGGTTTCTGGTACTTCCCACGGTCCAGGGTTTCTGGTACTTCCCACGGTCTGAGGTTTCTGGTACTTCCCACGGTCTGAGGTTTCTGGTACTTCCCACGGTCTGAGGTTTCTGGTACTTCCCACGGTCCAGGGTTTCTGGTACTTCCCACGGTCCAGGGTTTCTGGTACTTCCCACGGTCCAGGGTTTCTGGTACTTCCCACGGTCCAGGGTTTCTGGTACTTCCCACGGTCCAGGGTTTCTGGTACTTCCCACGGTCCAGGGTTTCTGGTACTTCCCACGGTCCAGGGTTTCTGGTACTTCCCACGGTCTGAGGTTTCTGGTACTTCCCACGGTCTGAGGTTTCTGGTACTTCCCACGGTCTGAGGTTTCTGGTACTTCCCACGGTTCAGGGTTTCTGGTACTTCCCACGGTCTGAGGTTTCTGGTACTTCCCACGGTCCAGGGTTTCTGGTACTTCCCACGGTCTGAGGTTTCTGGTACTTCCCACGGTCTGAGGTTTCTGGTACTTCCCACGGTCTGAGGTTTCTGGTACTTCCCACGGTCCAGGGTTTCTGGTACTTCCCACGGTCTGAGGTTTGTGGTACTTCCCACGGTCCAGGGTTTCTGGTACTTCCCACGGTCCAGGGTTTCTGGTACTTCCCACGGTCTGAGGTTTCTGGTACTTCCCACGGTCTGAGGTTTCTGGTACTTCCCACGGTCTGAGGTTTCTGGTACTTCCCACGGTCTGAGGTTTCTGGTACTTCCCACGATCCAGGGTTTCTGGTACTTCCCACGGTCTGAGGTTTCTGGTACTTCCCACGGTCTGAGGTTTCTGGTACTTCCCACGGTCCAGGGTTTCTGGTACTTCCCACGGTCTGAGGTTTCTGGTACTTCCCACGGTCTGAGGTTTCTGGTACTTCCCACGGTCTGAGGTTTCTGGTACTTCCCACGGTCTGAGGTTTCTGGTACTTCCCACGGTCCAGGGTTTCTGGTACTTCCCACAGTCTGAGGTTTCTGGTACTTTCCACGGTCTGAGGTTTCTGGTACTTCCCACGGTCTGAGGTTTCTGGTACTTTCAACGGTCTGAGGTTTCTGGTACTTCCCACGGTCCAGGGTTTCTGGTACTTCCCACGGTCCAGGGTTTCTGGTACTTCCCACGGTCCAGGGTTTCTGGTACTTCCCACGGTCTGAGGTTTCTGGTACTTCCCACGGTCCAGGGTTTCTGGTACTTCCCACGGTCCAGGGTTTCTGGTACTTCCCATGGTCCAGGGTTTCTGGTACTTCCCACGGTCCACGGTTTCTGGTACTTCCCACGGTCCAGGGTTTCTGGTACTTCCCACGGTCCAGGGTTTCTGGTACTTCCCACGGTCCAGGGTTTCTGGTACTTCCCACGGTCCAGGGTTTCTGGTACTTCCCACGGTCCAGGGTTTCTGGTACTTCCCACGGTCCACGGTTTCTGGTACTTCCCACGGTCTGGTACTTCCCAGTGTTTTCTGTTACTTCTCCCACGGTCCAGGGTTTCTGGTACTTGTCCCACGGTCCAGGTTTTCTGGTACTTCCCACGGTCCACGGTTTCTGGTACTTCCCACGGTCCACGGTTTCTGGTACTGGTCCCACGTCCACGGTTTGGTCTGGTACTTCCCACGGTCCACGGTTTCTGGTACTTTTCCCACGGTCCACGGTTTCTGGTACTTCCCACGGTCCCAGGTGTTGTCTGGTACTTCCCACGGTCCAGGGTTTCTGGTACTTTCCCACGGTCCAGGGTTTCTGGTACTTCCCACGGTCCAGGGTTTCTGGTACTTCCCACGGTCCAGGGTTTCTGGTACTTCCCACGGTCCAGGGTTTCTGGTACTTCCCACGGTCCAGGGTTTCTGGTACTTACCCACGGTCCAGGGTTTCTGGTACTTCCCACGGTCCACGGTTTTCTGGTACTTCCCACGGTCCAGGGTTTCTGGTACTTCCCACGGTCCAGGGTTTCTGGTACTTCCCACGGTCCAGGGTTTCTGGTACTTCCCCACAGTCCAGGGTTTCTGGTACTTTCCCACGGTCCAGGGTTTCTGGTACTTCCCACGGTCCAGGGGTTCCATCCATTTCTCCCATCCAGCGCCACTTTTTAGGGCATCCGCTTCTTTTCATTGTCGCGAATCTGGACGTCTTTGAAGGGTTAATGCCGAAGCTTTTATAGGACTTATATTCAAAAATTATAAATTTAGCAACTTGGAACGTATGGTGCGAACTTTTGTAAATGCTATTACTAATCCTTTGCAAATATATTTGGCTAGCAATAACGTATCTTAATGAGTAAATATACTCTTCGCCTCCCTCCCACAGCCGCCTTACTTCGCCTCTTAAGGCAGCTAATTCTGTACGAGTGGCACACACCTCCTTAGCACGTACCTCTTCCCCGCTTACTTGGACCCCTCCCCGCCAAACACACATCGAAACTACGACATTGGTACAACGTTCGAACAAGTTTTTTAAAACACTTCCTGACCAGTTATAACAACCAATATAGCAAGTTGTAACAACGTTCTAATACGTCATAAACACGTTAAGCCAAGATGTAACAACTTTATTACAAGTTGTAACAAGCGGAAAATAGAGACAGTTTCGGTTTGAGTTTCCAGGGTCAGGCACGGAGCCTAAGTGCCGTGTCGTAGGGCCATAGCCGCACAACCTGGACATGCTGCTTCTCACTTTTGTTATGCCCTGCTACGGGTCTACCTTATTCAAACTTTCGCTATGTACTCTGCTTCGTAAGCCCTATGCAGACATTTACTCCATGCCGGCCTGCCCGAAAGGACAGAGCCCTGTCTGTCTGGCTCCCTTACTCTCACCTCATCACTCTTACAGAAACGATGGAGCGGTGTCACTCATGCCCCATTGTTCGTGTTCCATCTGTGTTATACTACCTTAATCGCCCCTGTCAATTCCTCTGAGAATTTCATAGATAGGGATCATGTCTCCCCCTAGATCTTCTGTTTTCAAGTTTTACGAACTTTAAACTCACACTATATCTGGTGCTAGCCTATCCCTAATATATGTACCTAAGCTATGCAACTTTACCATTGTAATCATTGCTATCACCTTATATCATGGTTGTTATAATGAACGCATATTTTACTACATTATACCATGAAATAATCATCAAATTATGTTACAATGTTCTTGTTGATGACCCTCAAATCTTAATTTAATGTACCTACTAATCTTTGTAAAATTTTCTTACAATGTACCTGTTAAAAAAAATTCAATTTTGCAAAACATTACCTGGTTAAAATTATCTGTTGGATTAAGGACCTGCCCGAAACGCCAAGCGTGCTAATGGCTTTACAAGAATATAAAACCATAAATGCTATGTACTCTCATAAACGCAATGTACCTTCTTGTATATAAATAAATTTATATAAATAAAAATGGAAATGTTCGTTTGTGCATAACCGCTAATCTCCGAAAGTTCTTCACCGATTGCTTTGAAATTTTCACACAACGTTCCCTTTGCATCCGAGCTGGTTTTTATATACATTCTATATAGATATCACGTCTGTGACTAAAAAAAGCCATGCTTTTTCTGAAAACTGTTTTTTTTCATCTTCGAAATCTTCGAAACCTCTTTACTGATTGCCTTGAAATGTTGACACAACGTTGCATTCGAATAGGCGCGTCTTTTTATATATCTACTCTATACATGCCTCACCTGTGACAGGAAAAAACATGCTTTGTTTGAAAAACAGCGCCATCTGTTAGATGTAAGAGCAACATACGCTGTAATCTCCGAAAGTTCTTCACCAATTGCTTTGAAATTTTGACACAACGTTGCATTCGAATAGGCGCGTCTTTTTATATACCTACTATATAGATGCCACACCTGTGACAGGTAAAAACATGCGTTTTGAAAAACAGCACCATCTGTTGCACATAAGACCAACACATGCTATCCTAAATATGTTACGATTCCATTTCAATGTTTCCGATTTCATTGATAAATTGAATTTTCATAAATGTCGATTTATTTTAATTTTTATTTAATTATTTTGTGTATACATTGCCTTGGAATTGAGCTGTGTTGTTTACCATACCGTTCATTTCGTGAGTATAATTTACTTTTTTATTTTTTCATTATTTTTCATTTCGTTTTTTGAACTGTTTTTCTTATATTTCAGTGATGGGAACATCTGGGGCCAGATTCATGAAGCAGTTACGCAAGTCCTTACGAACATATACATCGTTCCTCAATCTTTGACGGCTTTGGTTACATTTATTAAACAGTTTTCAAGCATGAAAACTTGCCAATCAACTGTTGTTATTGTTATAAACAGTCTCTTGGTTCTTCGGAGCTCATTAACTGTTTAATAATTGTAAACCAAGCTGCCAAAGATTGAGAAATGATGTACAGGTTCGTAAGTGTTTGCATAACTTCTTTGAGAATCTAGCCCCAGATCATTTGATGTTCCAAATTTTCTGATGGGGGAACATCAGATCATTTGATCA